ATCCAGGCAATTATCTAGAAGTAACATTCCCATGTACAGACCATGGTCTAAGAAAGTAACTCCCACCAGGGATGGTTAGGGACAAGCCTGGGGTCCAAAGACAAGAAGGTTTGAATGCTCATCTCAGTGTTCTGCTGACAACACAAATGCAGAGCTGGTACTTCCTTATGGTCACAGCCTCCCTTGTGGCTGGTTAGAACCAGATGACAGATCTGGCCAATGTACCAGAGCAGAATTAGAGAATTAGTAGGTATCACTTCTTTGCTGAAGCATGGAGGGCCCCGGTGGCTTTCCCACCTCCCCCTGTCCCTCCTGCAGTAACTTCAGTGCTTCGCACATGCTGCAGAAGGGCAGCCACAGAGACACCAGGGTCACCATCTCCAAGGACTGTATGGAGCAGAGACCCAGGCCAGGTGTACAAGCATAGTCCTTGTGATGTCCAGCCACTGAGGTTTGAGGTCATATGCTGCCAGAGCTAGTGCCACTCAGCTTAACTGGATCACCCACACTACCACTCCAATTTTCACAAATAAGGAATGGGAGGCCACACCTCAGCAAGATAACTCCAGACTTGGGTAGGCAGCATACTTCTTCCTCTTATAGATTTTTGTTCTTCCTCTCCTGTGAGCAACCATGTCACCAAACCTCTTATCCCTGCCTGTCCCCAGATGTCTGAGTGATGGACACAGGGTAAAAGCAGGGACTCTCAGAAGATGTCCTGTGCTGGAACATTTTTCTGAACCTTACTTTCCCACCTATAAAATGGGGCAGTAACTAAACCCTCAGTGGAAAGAGTTGAAGATGGAGTATGATCTAGGCCCTGCTACAGAGGAATAATCTCACAGGGTCTGCCCCAGGCAGACCACCATCAAGATAGCCTACCATGGAAGGAGAGGCACAAGTGCAGCCTGGCCTGTCTTCTCTGAGCAGGACAGCAGACACAGCCCCACGTCGTAAACCTCAGACCTGACCCAGCCCACATCCAAAGGTAGCAGAGGGAAGCAGGGTCAGGTAGACAAAATGCAACCCACAGAGCGCCAGGGTATTCATCCCAAAGTCCAAAGTATCTTGGAGGAAGAGCCCATGACTGGGGTGACTTCAGGAGCTGTTTATCAGCTTAAGCTTTTCATCAGTGCAGGCGTTCTCCAGTTAGAATGGGAAGCGGAGTGTGGAGTGGAAAGGAATGGCTGACATCACAGCAGGGACAAGGCTACCTTGAGACTAATGACATGACCCAGGAAATATTTTGCCCCACTGGGGCTGAGAAAGGAAGAAAAGAACAGGAAAACTGATTTGTTCACCTTGTCTTTTACCCCTAAAGTAGACTGTCACACTCTGAAAGAATTAGTTGGTTCTTCCAGTAACTGTTGTTATTTCACAGTTACAATGCTAAGGATGGAAATAACAGTGTTTATTGAGCACTTACTATGTGCTTGGTACTGTGCTATTTCACAAAGATTACCTCACTGATGGCTCACAACAGTTTGAGAGGTAATATTGCCAGTTCTGTTTTACAGACCAGGAAACAGAGACACTAAAAGTTGAGTGACTTAAGGGCACATAATTGACAAGCAGGGTAGACAGCATGAACTCAAGCAGGTACTCTAACCACCATGCAGGGATTCTTCTAAGCAAATAGAGAACCTGAAGCTCAGAGAGGAGAAGTGACTTGTCAATTTGAGGTTACACTGCCCCATCTGTACCACATCAAGCCCCCTAATTCTAGGTTCTGTGGCCTTTCCACTCCACCCTGTCATTTCTCTGGGTGTAGGCACATACTCATGACTTGTCAACCTGTTTTCTGCTTATCTCCAAAATGTTCACTCATGAACTGAGCAGTCTTGGGTGGAGACATGGACATTGAATGGGAAGATAATCAGGGCCCCACTGAAAACCCAGCTATGACAGCTGTAGACCTAGGACCCACCATCTCACTCTGCCTCTCTTTGTAAAAAGCACTTGATGATCCTCCCCACTCTATCTGATGGATGCTGATGCTGGTCCAAGGTGCCAGCCCTGGTGGCAGGAGCCCAGGTTGGCACGTTTGCCTGATGGCATCAGGTTGAGAGATGCTGATCAGTTGGCATCATCTGCTCCCTGGGACCAAGTGCTGGGTTCGGAGCTCCCCTTCTGTGGGTCCCAGCTGAGCTTGACAAATGTTCCTGATTTCCATTCTCCATGGCTGATGAGATGGGCCAAAAGAGGGGCTCTCTGGAAAGGGGAAGTCACTAAACTGTCTTGTCCAGCCATGGGAATTGGGAGCTACAGACCCCCAGAGAGAGACACCACTACTAGATGCTGTGGCATTCCAGGTAGGAACCAGTCATGTTGCCCTCTCTGTCCCAACTGCTGGACATTGGGTCCACTCACACAGAATAGCTACAGAAGCTTTGTATGAACCCACTAGACTCCTGTACCAGGTGGGCAAACAGTCTGGAGAGACATCATCAGCTGGACCAGAGGCAGAACCCAGCATGGCTGGCCCAGAACCCCAAAAGGCTCTGCTCTCCTGGATTTAAGTCTTGAGCACCCCCCCCCATCTCTAGGGACATTTACAGTCAGGGAAGCGGGGTCACATGGGAAGTGACTCACCCAAGGACTACACTGATAAACTGACTGGTTGGATTTCAAACCTGCTTTTCCTCTTCTGAAGGCCCCCTTCCACAAATCCCCATAATCCCTTGTCTCTAGATCCAAACCTGCCCAGCTCCCGCTCTGTAATCGATCCCCAGAGCACTGAAACTTCATTCAGTAACCTGGGAGCTATTTCCAGGCTGCTGTGGAAGTTATAAAAGGTGGGGAAGCCCTTCCTAGAATCAACACACAGTCCCCACACCCCCCAAGACCAGTTAAAGGTCTGCTTCTATCAAGCACCCTGGACCTTCAATGATTGACTGGCAGTTTGGACTTAAGAGACAGAGAAAACAAGGAAAATGGCCCAGGTCTAGAAATCATTCTTCCTAGATTCTGAGACACAGAAGACAGCATTTGGGTGCCCCTCTGCTCTCTTCAGTGTGTGTGAGTTGCGTGGGGGGAAGTATGGGACAGAAAGGAGGGACAGCACCCAGAGCTGGCAGCCTAGGATTGGGGTAGGCTCACACCCAGGTTCCTAGGGCCAGGCTGTCTCAGCAGGCTTCCTTCATAGAAAAACAAATCACTAAAACCAAAACAAACCCAAACACTCCTTTTGTTTTCTGGCCCCCTGGAATGTCTTAAAGACAAATCCAGGGACAAGGACTTCTCCACCCTTTCCTCTGTCTCTGCTCCAACTCTTTCATTCAAAACAGAAGCCAGGCTGATCTCTCTGATGGAAACTCCATCCTGGAGGAGAACACTACCTACATCTGACAAACACACTTGGCCTCTTCACTGAGGGTAGGAGACCCTATCTGTCTTTCAGGGACTCAGGGACCAATTCCATTTCCACAGGCTTCCATGGAGACTCTAGGGGAGGGGTTATCAGATGATGAACCACATTTCTAGTAGAGGCTTATGAAAACTTCCAGGCACTGTGAGGCCACTGAAACTCTCTGATTAGCTCATCTGTAATGGGGGTGGGGGTGGGGGAGTATTAATTAGAGAGAAAGATGAGGCACCAGGCCCTCCAGAGTCCCTTCAAGGAAACCAGCCCCCCACACAACAAAGGTGACACTTTTCACAGAGGCCTGCAGTGAGTGAGCAGTCACTTCCCACAGATCCAACTCACAAGAGGTGCAGAAGAGAACACAGGGAGGCAGAGCAAGTTTCCACCAGTACTTGGGACATGAAGTGATGAATGCCCAGGACCTCAGACCCAGAAGGTTGGGTACTCTCCATGGCTGGGGCTGTAGAAAGTTCTAAGGAGCCCTGTTGCCCCACCGTATACCCCCAGTGTGCCTGTGCCCAGAGAGAGTATGGATGTGAGTAGAGATACCCTTAACTGGCCATCCCACCCACCACATAGATCTGGCTAGGACAGCGGACATGAATGCCACTTTTATAAAAAGGATGCACTCCACAGCTTGGGTTTCAGTAAGTTCAAGATACCCCCTCCCCATAATACTCCATCCCACGTCTCCATGCCAACTCTCTGTTCATTTCTTTCGTTTTTGTTTTCCTGGGGATGAATTTTTCACTCACCCTTACAAGCTCCCCAAGAAAAATCACTTCACGAGGGCTGATCCTTTTGGTCGTCGCCAACACCCCAGCCTCATGTTGGGCCCCCTACCGGGTTCGCTGGGGTGCTGTGAGCTGGGGCGCTCCTGGGAACACACCCGACGCGGGTGTGTGGTTCCTGGGCCCGGAATTTGGGGTCTGTCTCTGCGAAGCGCCAGGGCTGATCTGCGAGGCTGAGCCGGCCGGGGAAGGGCTCCCTCTGGCGGGGCCACTCTTCCAGCGCAGCAGGACCGGAGCCGGCGCGCGCCCACCGCGGCCCGCCACGCTTGGGAACCCGCGGCCACCACACCCCACACCCGGCAGCTTAAAGCTGGGGACCCGCCTGGAAGCCGCTCGAGTCCCCGCATCCCCGAAGTCACACACCTTCCCGCGCAGGGAATGAGAACCCGGGAGCCAGCGCAGAGGGAGACGCGCCCGCCCGGCCCAACACCCGGGTCCCCGAAGGCGACGCGCATCGCTGTCCTGCCCAGCCTGCGACCTGCCATGCCCGGATCCCGCTCCGAGTCCCCCACTGGCGACCTATCCTCGTTCAAGGTGGCTGAATGCACCTTCCTTCCGCACACAGCCGGGGCCGACACCCCTCGACCCCAGAGTCCCACCTGCCGCCCGTCTGTGGCCGGGGATCGCAGGGCGCCGGGCAGCTGCACCTGACCCGTGCGAAGTCCGCCGCCCCGGGCGCGCTTGGGGGTGCACGCGGTGGCGCTGTCCCCTTCCCTGGGCGAGTCTCGGCAGAACTTGGTGGCCGCTTCCCCGAGCGTCCTGGGACCCACGATGATCTGCGATCTCCCTGGGAGCGCGCGGTTTCCCCGCGCCGGGGCGTACAGAGTGCTGTGGCCGAGCCCTACCTGCAGCAACACGGCCGCGGAGAAAGTTTCCCTGGACACACAGCTCTCTCGCAACTTGCGGGACCTGCGGCGCCGGGCGACAAGGCTACGAGGCGACGAGGCGGCAAAGCTGTGAGGCGGTGGCGACGCCCGCTGGGGGGGGGGGGGGGGGGGGGGGGGGGGCCGCCCGGGGGGGGGGGGGGGGGGCCAGGGCCGGAGGACTCCGGGATCGCCGCGCAGCGTCTGCCCGAAGCTTGCAGCCCGCGAGACGCCCGCGGCAGCTGCAGCCGCTCGCCAGCCACCGCCGCCGGCCACACCTCCCGCCACCCCCGGCCCGCCCTCCTACTCCCTCCGCCCCAGCCTCCGCCCCTCGGTCTCGGGTCGCTGCCGCCGCCGTGGAGCCGGGCGTCTCGGCCCGGGAACTGGCCATTGCCCCCTCAGGGCCGCAGAGGACACCACGGCCACCACGGGGTTCCTACCCTGTCCCTTGCACCGCCCACCCCCTGCCCATGTTCTCTGTGTCTGAATTTAGAAGACTGCTGGAGGGAGGTGAGGGTGACAGTGTGGGATTTTCCCCAGGGATGTCGCTTCTTGTCATCCCCCACTAGCAGGGGAACACCTGTTGGGAGCCTGAGGAGCAAGCCCCACTGAGGTTTATTACTGGTGATCACAGGGCCCTGCCCCAGTGTCACCTCCCACATCCCATTGCTAGGGACCAGACTAAGACTTTCGCCTTACTTCCTCCTGGGTCCTGGTACAGGGCTTCATCTAGACAGCTAACCTGTTACACTGTCGCCCAGACAAGATCTATAAGCAAAGCACCTCAGAGCCCAAGAGAGAGAGACTCAAACTGCCTCTGCAGGAGCAAGACCCAGTGAGCCACTGATTCTCATCAAGGACTGACAGGAAGGATGCTAAGCAGGCCTTGGATGGAAGGTTGGTGAGGTCAGGGCACGGTTCAGAGTTTCAGGGACAGGAAGACTTGGCCTTTCTGGGCGACATTCCAAGAAATAGAGTGTCCTTCTAAGGTCTTGGGACTGGTCCTTTGAACCACTTCACAGAATCAGCAGAGATAGAGGAGGGGCTGCCAGAGTGACAGAAGCCAGGATAACAGTCTAGACTGCTCTTCAATGAGCAGGCATGGAATTCTGTTAATGTATAGGCAAGGGTCCACAGGCAACCCTCCATCCAACCTCCCAAGCAAGACCAAGAGGAGGCGGGGCCCTTTGTGATCCCCCACAGTCCCTGAACCCAGGGCTACTACTTACTATAAGAAGCAGACTGCAGGGGAGGGAAGGGTCCTTGGATGAGAGGCAGCACAGAAATTAAGGGAAGCAGCCAGCCTGGAGTTTGGCCTCCGTCTTGGGAGGGAGGTGGAGGCTACTAGGGTGTGCTGGATGACTTTAGTCATCAATTTGACACCTGGGTTGAGGGAGCCTCAGTTGGGGAATTGCCTCCATTGGACTGGCCTGTGGCCATGTCTGGTGGGCATATTCTTGATTGAGTAATGTGGGCAGGCCCAGCCCACTGTGGGTGGTGCTACCCCTGGGCAGGTTATTTTGGGTTGTATAAGAAAGCAGCCTGAACACTGGCCAGAGGAGCAGGCCAGTAAGCAGTGTTCCTCCATGGCCTGTGCTTCAGTTCCTGCCTCTAGGTTCCTGACCTGAGTCCCTACCTTGGGCTTCCTCAGTGATGCAAGCCAAATAAACCCTTTTCTCCCCAACTTGGTATTGGTCAGAGTGTTTTGTCACAACAGTAGAGAAGCTAACCAGAACATAGGAGGTTAGGGTTGGAAGAAGCAGGCAGACTGGGGGACAATGAGAGGGCTCAGTGGGTAAAGGCATTTGTTGCCAGGCCTGATGACCCGAGTTCAATCCCTAGAATCCATATGATGGAAGGAAAGAACAGGCTGGCTTTCAGGACAGTTCATACCCAGCTGGGACAGTGATTCCAGCTCCAGGCCTCCTTCCTGACCCTTCAGAACATGGCCTTGATTGGGCCCCAGCATGAGGGTTGCATGCTTAATGGCTTTCTTTAAATCAGCACTTATTTTATGTTTTGTTTTACTTAAACAAGCTTATTTTTAAACAGTGATATGTTATACCACAGCCATAGATGGAAGAGCAGCGTCACATGGCTATAAATAGAAGGTTACCATAAAATAAATACAGAATAAAACGGTGTCATTAAACCCCAATAGTGACTCTTCAGTCACCATGAAAGAAAGTGTAAGGAGACGTGGCTGGCTGCTGGAGGAAGGAGCTAAACAGCCCCAGGCCTCACTCCCTCCTGAAGATCAATGAGAGCCAGAAAGAGGCTAAAGATCTACTAGCAACCAGCTCATGGCACACCACAATCAGGAAATGTAACATTTATGTAGATCACTCAGAACAGCACCTTTTTTCCCCCAAAATGAGGAATCCAAAGAGTTTAGTCCTCTGAAACATAAACTATGATCCTGTTCACAAAGCCATCTCTGCCTCAGTGTTTCCTCCTGTAAATGGGGTTTGGGGTAAACACCTATAGAATCCCTTCAACTATCTGTCATGGAAGGAAGAAAGGCGTCCAGATTGTGGTTTATCAGCAGTTTCCAGGAATAGAAAGGAATTTTCCAAGGAGATGGGATAGAGAGGAGAGAGGGAAGTTTTGGGGTGAGGTGGAAGAGATGGCCAGCCCTGACCAAATAGAGTCCAGGTTGGCATGGACCCAGCAGCAGCCTGGCTCAGAAAGTTATAAATTCCCCTTCTGCCTATTTCAAAGGAACCTTATGGAGGATTCATTGTAATCCAGACACTTGATTATATAGAAAGGGATGCTGAGAAAGAGTCCCACTCTGGACTCTGGTGAGGAGCCTGGTGATGAGTCAGCCTCCTCCCTCCCAGGCCAGGGCCTCTCAACTCCCTGTTTGGAGAGGGGTTGATAATTAATATTGTTACCTTGACAGGATCTAGAATCACCTAGGAGACAAATTTCTGAGCATGTCTATGAAGGAGTTTCTAGATTAGGTTAACTGAAGTGGGAAGACCCACACTGTGGGTGACAACATCTGTCAGCCTGGGGTCCGGGACTGAAGAAAAAGGAGAGAGTAATCTGAGCACAGTATCCATTGCTCTCTACTTCCTGATGGCAGCCAGATGTGACCAGCTGCTCCACATTCTTGCTGCCAGGCCTTCCCTGCTGTGTCTTCCTACCACGATGGACTGTGAGCCAAAAACCCTTCCTTCCTTAAGTTGCTTTCGTCAGGTATTTTGTCCCCGCAATAACGAAAGTAACCCAGGGAGGCATGGGAAAAATAGTTTTTGAAAATGCTCAGTTCTCCACAAGATGTTCTTTGAGGTCCTTTTCTCCAACACCCACAAAACGAAAAGGCCCAGAATGTTCTATTGAATCGAAAGTCTCAAGTCTGTAAGAGTTATCCTGGGATGGACAGTTTCAGGTACTATGGCCCAGTCCCCAGGCACAGGACACCTGAGGTAAGCGCTGGTGATGAAAAACTGGGAATGCTAACACAGCACAAAGAGCTCCAACCAGGAGCCCAGAGCGGCTGTGGCAGACAGCTTGAAGCCCAAAGTCTGCAGGCCACAGCCTGGACTCCATAGCTTACAGTGCACAGCCCAGGGCCCACAGCCTAGAGCTCTGCCCTGCCACCTGACAGTCCCTTCCTTTGCCAGGCTTCAGTGCTCCTGTCTGGAACATGAGACCTGAGACATGAGCATGGGTTCCAGTTGGGCTGCCAGGTCCCCTCTCATACCTAGTGCTGCCTTACTCCTCTGATCTCTTGCACGTGGGTGGAGGTGGCCCTCAGGGGCATTTGCACACTGAAGCCCAGCAGTGCTACCTGCAGCTGGGCACCTAAACCCTCTGACCTTTTTGGGGGGTAATTGTGTATATGCACACACATGCAGGTGAGGTGAGTGGGTGGGTGTGCACGTGCCCCAGCACACATCTAGTTATCAGAGGACAATTTGGTGGAGTTGGGCCTCTCCTTCCTGCCCCTGCTTCACAGATACACATAATCCACACACATCATACACATACACATGCACACACACCCATAAGTGTAGACACACATATATCTGCACCCACACCCTCCTGCCACACCCACACACCTCAGGGATTGAACTTAGATCATAAGGCTAACCCAATTAGCACGTTTTCCCCCAAGCCATGGTAACCACACATGTGGCACTAATGGTGAGTTTCTCATGGAAAGTCCTGGCACACGAGTGCATGCTGATTGAGACTGGAGGACATTTGCCAAGGTAGGTCACCCCCCCACTCCACTCCCACCCTCAGGCTCCATAGTTGACCTTCCAATCTAGCTTTTCCAGGCAGTCTGAATTTAAAATGCTTAATCATTGCCTCCTTGATTTTTTTTGAATTATCTCCTTTTATGTGTAATTCGCAATCATTTCCAAAAAACATTGACAGTTCATTAAATGTACAACAGAGAGTGATTACATTTGTTTATCTTCGCAGTGCTCTTCATGAGTCCCCAGGATGTCCCTGAGGATTGGAAGGATGCTCCTGACTCTTCAGGGCCTGAAGCAGTTGCCTGTTCCTCTATGGTCTCCACTTCTCCCAGCACACTGCCCCAGGCAGATCAAGCCTAGTCTGAGTTTTCGGCACAAAGCCCAGGCCTTCTGTCTCTTCTACCCCCAGGAATGCTGCAGGAAGGGATGTAAATGTGGGTATACACACACACACACACACACACACACACACACACACACACACCATGCAGGAAAGAGGCAGGGTCAGGGTCTGGAGGCTCTGCTGGGAGGGATCCAGCATCCAGTTTCCTCCTGTACTTTGTGGCTGGACTTTTAGAAAGCAAGTCTCTGTGAACAGCAAGGAGTGCCTGGGAAAAGCCTACTGCACTTTGGTCACCCGCCTTCATTTTCTTTCTTAACTTTGAACAAATGGCAAGATACTGATAGCTGTCATTCATGAAGAGCTCTCTTCAATCCAATTGGATAGACCCAGGTTCAAAACCTGGCTCACTCACCAGCAGTGTGTTCTCAGGCAAGTTGCTTTCCCTCTTTGGCCTTTTCACTCCTGGTCTTTTAACAGGAGGAGTGCCTGACATGTTCCAGGCACTGGTAAGACCTTGAGCTGTCTCCCAACTCACTTAAACCT